TTGATCAAACTACAAAAAAAATTCTTTGATTGGTTATATACGTACATCTTTGGGAAGTGTGGTGTAATAGATGCATATTTTCCTTTTTGAATATTCCATTGCAACTTGAAGTTGTATTTTCTTGCACATTATTTGAATTGGTTTCGGCTGTTGAAAGATCCGAAAAATCTTTCTTTTTTTTTTAAAAAAAAAAAATGTATAAATTACCTCCCCTTCCCCTTCATTTCACACCAATTTCACTTTACTCTTGCTATAATCTCTAATAATACTCTCATTTCTCATATGTTCTATAAATTCTTTATATAAGATTTTTTCGTTTTTCTCATTTATAATCTATAGATAATACTCTCATTTCACCCCTCGTTTTTGTTTTATAAATCCTATAGTTACAAAATGTCGAATTCTCGTGGAGGAAGACCATCAAAGCGAAAAAATGTAGTATCTACGAGTGATCATCCTCCACTATCGACGCCGATGACATTCTCGGACGTTGAGGGTCTATCCGGTGACGTGACTCCCATGGAGTTCCAACACATCTTTAAATATATTAAAGATATCCACGAGTCATAGAGTTCGAGGACCTGGAGCCGGGTGACAATCACAATCCTACTCAAGGTCAACGGACGGTCGCGGGACCTGGGGGCTTCGGGTCGACAGCTGACATATGAGATATTCACAAGACATTTCAAGAAAGTGTTCGATTCCAAAAAAGGTGATAAGCATTTTATATGTATTTACAATCACTGTCTGCATACGCCAAGAAAATATACACGTTCAAAACTGATAATGAGTATGAAACCATGCGACGACACGTACACACCTATCATCCGGCCGAAATGGGGATTGACACAACCCAGATGCAAATACCGAGAAGTAGCATTGCATCTGCGACTGGATCTACCAAATCATGTTCTTCTACGTAGTATTGCATCTGCGGCTGGATATGCCAAATCAGCTTCTTCTTGGCATTTATTTATTTATAATTATGTTACAAATAAAGTTGAAATTGTTAAATGCTGAAATTGTTCAAATTGAAAAAAAAAAATGTTACTAAAGATAGTGGATAAATGAAAAGAAAAGAGAAATTAGGATTAATGTGTTGTTTTGTAACCGATTTGGGAGGTAAAACACTAATAATTTTATTGATGGTGTTGCTCCTCTTTATATATATAGATATAGGAGGTAATTTTTACAGACATGTGTAAATTAGTAAAACCTAACAATATATTATATACTGGACATAAACATAGATTGCATAGTTGTGCAGACAACATGTTAACTTAATCTGGTTTGTTAGTAAAAAATAAAACAATAATTATATACTCAACATAATCATACAGTAGAGAATTGTGCATAACATGGTAATTAAACTTAGCCCTTGAATTAACTTGTTTTATAAACTAAGAGCATCTCCAATGATGGGTGTGAATTGTAGTCTACAAAACAATCAAATAGAAAGCTTTCTCTCCACGTAGACTGCATGGACTAAATCACTCTCCAATGGTTAATGTCTGTACATAGTAAATATCTATACATGTGTTTTTTTCTTTTGTTGTCTAAAAAAAAGGCAAAAAAAAAAAAAAAAAAANAAAAAAAAAAAAAAAAAAAAAACTTGCGAACTTTGAACGAATCACAATATTTTTGGTAGAGGTCTATACATACACGAACTTCTTCCTTTTAGTGTTCTACAAAAATGGATACACAGACTTCTTTCTTCTAACAAATGGATACACAGGCTTCTTCATGTTGCTGTTATAAAAAAGTGGAAAAAAACTTGCGTCGAACAAACTCAACAGCATGAAACTATAATATTTTCAACAATAGATATTTATATATTGCACATTCGTCAATTTAATTTATAGTTTAATTCATAGTTTGAGAGTGAATATAGACAAAAGTATACCTTCATTTTGAGTTTGCTATCACCAATCTACACATTCATCCGTATTTTTTTTAAGAACATCTCCACCTTTGATATTCATCAGATATTTTACAGTATTTTTTTGTAAGAACATCTCCATATTCATTATTGGTAAAGTAAAACAATTATCGGTATTTTTTATATCTTTTTTTCTCCGTGCGTTTGGCAGTTTAAGCCTTTTTCTTAACCTAATTATATATTTTAATTAAAGATAAAAATAAATAAATAAAGGAAAAAAAGTGAGCCATCAAATATAGAAGTACTTTCACATGTAGAAAGACTTCTAGAATTATTTTGTCTCTCTCATGCCACATCACCGCCAATAAAAGTGTAAAAATGACTGCTGGAGAAGTTTTTTAGCGTACCACTTCTACAATCCACAATTAACAGTCCATTGGATATGCTCTAAACATACTAAGGTCAATTGGTTGAAACAAATAGAAGGGAGTAATATATGAAAAAAAAAGCATATGCAGGAATATATTTTTACATTTTATAATAATAATAATAATAATAATAAGTGACTGCAGGAATATATGAAAAAAGTGACATTTAATAATAATAAAACAGCTTTTAGGCTTCTTCTTGTTAATGCTAATGTATAGTGCACTGGTAATTTCCTCCCCTTCTTTATAAATAGAGATTGACTTTTTTAGATGGAGTAGTTTTCCCTCTCTTATGTACCATTGTGCATTTAGCAGGGTTGGATTACGGCTTGCTACTTGCGGGCCAGTCCAGCTAGATTGTGTAGAATGTCAATTTAGTGAAGCCCATCAAAATAAATATATTCTAGAAGAAAATAAAACATAAGGGCCCATGAGAAAAGAGTAAGGGTCCATGTTAACCGTCTCTTTAATCAACTAGTTGGCTCCAATTCTTGCTCAGAAGAGTAATTACTGTGAACTGTCTAATTCATTTTCAGTAGGCCCAACAAGTTAATTGCCGATGCCAACTTGCCAAGCACTGTAAAGTGAGCTGTCACCTTCCTTAACGACATATCTCCCCTATATATTAATTCAAAATGTGTTGAGTCTAAGTGACAGGCTCGCACATTTTGGAATCCTACATGTCATAATATCATGCTTTTTAGTTAGGTTCGGATAAAAAATTTAGAAACAAAATTAGCTTGAAAAGTGGCATAAGTAATTTTTCCATCATACATAATTGTCTCTCATCAATCAATCTTGCATTACCAAATTTGTCTTGAATTTAAAGATCAAACAAATCCTCCTTTCTCTATTTCATTTTACTAAGTATTTATCTCATTCATCATATCTTTCATTTTGGGTACAATTGTATTTACTTTTATAGTAGATTTATTTATTAATTTCTTCTCATGCATTAGAATAAAAAAATAATATAAAATATCTACAAAGTGGTAAATTGAAATAGGTAGTCTACACATAATTATTGAATTTAAAGCTTAAGTTAGGACACATATAAATGTAGCAAAACATAGATAACTAAAATAAAAAAATAACTTACTTATTTGCATAAATCACTGTTAAGAATAATATTGCAATTATGTTTCCTTGAAATTTGAAAAATTAAAAATTAAAAATTATTTCCTTAAAATTAAAAATTAAAAATTTGAAGTAGGTACTAAAATTGTTTCCTTAAATTTTGAAAAAATAGTATAATTAAAAATTATTAAGTTCATGTATAATTGAAAGTTGTGGGACTATTTGTGACTTTTACTATTTTTCGGGACAAAATGGCACCCTCCTCTATCTGTGGAACTAGTTTTGAATTTTTTTCCAACGTTTTGTGACTATTTGTAACTTTTACTATCTCATGGTACTTGAGATTGTATAGTGTCACACATTTTACTTATGAAAGATTATCACATTTACATCAATTATCTCATGGTACTTGAGATTGTATAGTGACACACATTTTAATTATGAAAGATTATCACATTTACATCAATTATATACATGTTTCAGTAAATATCTAACAAGTTATGTTAGTTGACCAAACAATGAGTTCATATAAAAAGACTAAAATTAGTGTAACCAATATATATATATATATATATATATATATATACATATATATTCATGAGCTTAAACTAAAATATGCATACACATACAAGTTAAAATAAATTAAATATGGGTTGAATTAATATAACAAAAAATATTTTTATTCTTAAGCACAATATACTAAT